GTTAATTTCCCATGCACAAGATTACTGTGTGATGGATGTCCTCCCCTGGGGTGGGATGGGTGGGTTTGTTGGCGCTTAAACCTTGTAGGGGACCTATTTCCTATTGTTTCTGCTCCAGTACTATGTACAAATCCTTAAATACTCTAATAAATACTCTTAGACTAATACTCTAATAACCTCAAGTACAGACTTATCTGCTGGAGGGAAAAGCCAATTTTTTTCTTGAAAATGAGAAAAATGAACCATTAGACTACATAATGTATATCATTTTCTGGGTACTTTTTGGGTTATACTATAAATGACACCAACAGGTGTGGAGGAGGTAACTGAAAAGACTGAGCAGTGTCCAAAGTGAAAAATTGAAAAACTTTTAAAATGTTTTGTTTGCCTCGTACATATAGGGTATACCATTAAACTATCTCAGAGCATTGATTGTTATGAGATATTATTTTGACCAAAACAGTACAAATACTTCAAATTCCAAAAATTGCAGGAGTGGTAAATCAAGGCCTCGGAGAGGGCCAGAATTTCATGCTTTCAGTGTGCAGATCATTACAGGACAGAAACTGTGTGCACTTTGAGTCTTTCATATGTCCCATACATCCAGAAAAGTTTTCCAAGGACTTATCAGGGATGGCAAGAGGTACTAACAGTTCACATAATTTCAGTCCTGTCATGTTCAATGAACTTGTGGTTGTGAAAAGTTTAGAAAAAATGATTACATGTTGAGCATCAAATGGCATCTTGAACCACGTGGAACTCTCAGACATTTAAGGGTTCAGTAAAAGAGGGATGATGTTGTATACCAAGGGGTTACTTCACCTTTAAAGTTGCACAGTTGATAGACTAGTGTTATCTGTTGGAATACCCTTGTTTTGTGAACAGGAAAGAAAGTGGAGATGAGAGATTGATAGATTCAGCAAGAGACCCAACAATACCTAAGGTAAATTATCATTTGTTAGTTTTGTTTAAAGTAGACATATTAGAGAAAAACCTTAGGCTTCCACCATAGAGAGGTGTCAGGCTAAAAAAGAGATAAATGATTTAAAATTTTAACCATTTTCAGGGTAACATCAGTAAAGCATGCTCTCCATACTGTTCTCTATACATTTCAGATTAGACATGGTGATATTTTGACAACCCCATATTATAATTTGACTATAAATGAGAAAGTCTCCCCATTTCACTGAGAGAAGAGCACCTACTGGAAAATAGTGAAAAGTTGGCAGAAACACGAGAAAATGTAGTCCATATCCATTTTTGCTTGTCACTTTTGCCAAAAAATGTCAGTCAAGCATCAACTTCCTTCAACAATTTTTTTGTTGCTGTGACTCTGCAGGTGGCAGCTGTATCCACTGTAGTGAACCATTCCTTACTCTTGCCGTATGTCTTCAGTAACTACACACATCCTTATGGTTCCAACTCCAAGTTTCCTCAGAGCTGTAAGTACAGGCTGTGGGAGGCACTCAGGGCATCTACTGCTGCTCCTGGTTACTTTGAAGAGTTCAAACTTGGAAATAACATCCATCAGGTTAGAACATGTTTCTTTTGTTTACAATTAAAGGATTGATGCACTCATTAGTTACAATCTTAGAGATCCCCTTCTCCATTGGTTTATTTGATGATTGGTTTGTGCTTAGCCTGTGAAAATCAAGGCATGGATGCATGGAGGAAGTTTGGAGAGTACAAGTTAGAGTAGTGTAAGAGTGCTTAAGGCGCAGCCTAGGACAACTCCAGCTTCTTAGCACTCAGTTAAATGTAAGAAAATGCAAAGAAAGCTGATATTTGTAACAGCCATGACTGTTTGTCCTTCTTCACTCCCTCTCTCCTGACGTATACTTTCCCTTTTTTTTCTATTCCTTCCTCCCTCTCCTTCATCCCTCATCCATCTTTCTTTCCAAGCCCCTCTCCTTCTTTCACAACTTTTCCCATGTCTTTCCCTTCCCCTTCTCCCTCTTTCCTACTTTTTCCCTTTTTTTCTACCCCTTCCTTCCCTCTTTTCTTCTTTTGTTCTTGTTCCCTCTTTTCCCATTCTTTCCTTTCTCATGTATCTTTCTCTCTCTGCCTCTCTTTCCTATATTTCTTCCTATCTCCCTCACTCCTCTCTTACCTTCTCTTTTTTCGTACCCTACCATTGTCACCTGTTTTCCTTTGAAAATGTGTGTTTCCCACAGGATGGTGGACTCCTCACAAACAACCCTTGTGCAATAGCTGTCCATGAGGCCAGACTACTGTGGCCAGATGAGTCCTTTCAATGCATTGTGTCTCTTGGTACTGGCAAGTACAAAGGAAGGTCTGGCCCAAGCACTGAGGAGTTTAGCAGTCTGAAGGAAAAAATGCTAAAAGTTGTGGCCAGTGCAACAGATACTGAAGGTAGAGATAAGAGAAAGGATGTACATGATATTGAGGTGTTTTTTTCCTTCTCTTTTCATGAAAAAGGGAGGGAAAGTTCTTTTTTTGATGAAGAGGAAGTAATTCTCACAAAACTGCAGTAAAAGTAAACAGTAAGAAAAGTTTCGGATGGTAATTTCTGAAATTTCTTAAACTTCCTTTATTTTCAGCAATAGACACTGTTCTCAGTGACATACTACCCAAGTCAGTCTACTTCCGGTTGAACCCAAACTTGTCAGCTAATGTACCCATGGATGAAGGCAGGATTGAAATGTTGGAGCAAATTCAATTTGATGCGAGAAAACATTTGGGAAAAATTGATGAAACTTTAAAGACTTGTGCAAAAAATCTTCTTCAAGACAAGACTGTACTAAATCGGGGAATGGACAGGTTTAGAAACTGGTATAGAACTATATGAGCAGACATTTTTGCTATGACTCTCTACACCATAAGATCAGAACGCATATTCTCCATACCATTTTTTTACATATTTCTTAAGCTGCTGGCAAGGAGAATTTGTTTAGCGATCAAAGTTGTTTAACAATCAAGAGCTTCTTTAGTTGGTGATCATTTCCTTTATTCTCCTGACCTTAATGAGTGATTTAGAGGTGATATTGTAAGGAGAAATTAGATGCTAATCGCTCTTAGGGCTCAAAGGGTTAAATAAGTTTTTGTAGTTCAAATTTGTTCACAGTCAGTTGCAAAACAATATGGTTTGATTTCATTCTTTTTTTTTTAATTTTTAATTTTATTTAGAGATTTACCATAAGGTAGGTGTAGAAACAATAGCACTCTTAAGTCCCCTACTAGGTTTTTACACCCTGGAACCCACCCATCCCACCCCAGGGGAGGACATCCATCACACAGTAATCTTGTGCATGGGAAATTAACATCTCCTACCCCTAACCCTGCAGGAGATGGGGCCTATGGTTTATTCGTCCTTATCCGAAAAGACTAGAATATCTATCCATTTCTTGAAATTATAGAAAGGCAGCAAATTGTCCTCAGTTATTTTAAGACCATGAGTATTGGTCTGGCTGGGGCACGAACCCTCGACCTCCTGCGCAACACAATATGGCACTCTAACCAATTGAGCTAACCGGGGGGCGGTTCATTAAATGTGTCATCCAT